TCGTTGACCCAAAGTAACCGAAAGCCTTTCCCGCCCACAAGCCAAATCTAACACCCTCTTTCGAAAAGGTTACTTATTGTACGTTACGCGAGGTTTAGGATTTTGGAGCGACAGAGTCGCAAACTTCCGAACCCAACATTATCTACTTCGCGACCTTGTCACGTTTCCCCGTCACACTAAAATCACAAATAACGCCTTTTCATCATTACACCATTTTCTTAATCCATCACATTCATTCACAATTCGCAACACACAAAACATCTATTAATAAATAAAGTGCTAGGTAACTCAAATAATAAATAAGGTAAGGAAAATGTTGAAATAAAAATATAAAATAAGTAATAAAGATACACAGAAAAATAAATATTACATGATATGTACATACATGTATACGTTGATTGACCCAAAAAGGTATTGTAATTCTCGACGTTTAGAATTTTGATATATCATGGTTGGGTTCACTAAATTTTGTAATTCTTTGAATCTTAATAATGACTGGGCTTCTGATTTTTTAAATATAGATTATTTATTTATTTTCTATTTCATTATAGCAATAGTATCATCAACACCAAATAGTTTGTAAATTTTATATATATTTCATTTTCTGATCTTTTTTAAAAAACATAGAAACATAAATAAGAACTTTTTAAACATTCATTTTATTGTCAAATAAAGTAATTCCGAAATCTCAATAATAGCGATAGTGATTATTGTTATAATTATTAACCTCGGTATATTTGTTATTTTTGTAATTTTTTTTTTTTGCTATCATAGTAACTATGTAAAAATATTATGTAAGTAATGACAATTCCTTTTTTAGATTAGTAAAAAGCCAATATATTTTAAATTCATTATTCTAATGCAATTCGCTTGTGACATGATCTGGAGTTCTAATTGCCGTAACCCTGATCACTCGATCAAGTCCCTAGAATTAATCGTTAGGTGATATTGTCCTGACGTAAATGCGTATAAAATACACAAAAATATACTTTACAGTAATATTGTTGTAACATTTTATTACTGTAATTCAAAAGTGGAGGGTCTGAAGCGAAGAGCCTCATATAATCTATTACTTAACTAAAGATTAAAGAGGTAATCTTGTTTTAGGTTAGCGTAATTATCAAGTAATAATAATATACAAAGTTTTATTTCAATATATAAAGTTCAAGGAGATTAAATATGTAGGACCGATCTATGTGAATAAAATCCACAAATCGGTTGAATGAACGACATGCTAGTGAGATCGCACTGGTTTTTAGACTATTCTCGAAAAAGGAAATTTTAACAATGCCAATAAATAATTATAAATTCGGTACGTTTCATATGTACATGTACGTATGTACTAGATTTTGGATTTTCATACAACCTAAAAAACTAAATAGAACTTTCTATCTTATCACATCAGCACATCAGTACCTAGTTGCTTTACATTCTTAGACTACATTGAAAAATAATCCTAATTTATGCAGAAAATTTGAATTTATGATATTATTTAGTTATAATCGTCATATAGTAAACTTAGTATGACAACTTAGCATTAATTTGTCCAGATGCCAATAATGGATTAACAAAAGGTAGTCATATGATTAAGTATAAATGATTTTCTTATTTTGGAAATAGCAAAATATTTAGAAAAAAAATTGTTATTTTGTTATGTAATACTAGATTTTTGATTATACGAAAGTATTTAAATACTTATTCAATTGCTAATATAAGACAAATCAGTTCCAACTGAACTTGTAGTCAATGCTGAACAGAATCATTGCTAATTTAAAGATGAATTGCCTTTTCATCATTTTCATTATATGTATCCTGACAACTAATTTGGATGCCTCTATTGAGTTGGGTCATCTAGACCGAAGGCAAAACAATAATACTGTTATTCGAGCATCGACCGCAGCATCAGGAAATGCATGCCCCACGGCACCAGTTGCTATTACTACAACTGTAAATTCGAGTGTATCAACAGTATCAACTATTACTGGCTCAACCACTTCGTTTGTTACTATTACAGGTACGTTGTATTGCATTTGTTGTTTAAATTTAATGCGATATGAGTATTTTTTTGCATTTAAATTTATGTTAATTAAATGTTCATATTAGGTCAATCGGTACCCAGAGTAATTACAACTACACTTCCAGCCATAAATTTTAATAAGCCTTTAACAGCACGTAATGAAGACATACCAAGTGAAGCTTATAAAGTTGCATCAGATTTTAAAAGCATCACTTCAAAACGAGGATTTTCTAATTGTGGTGGTATTATGAACCTTGATGATTTCCGTATACTTTATTCGGCATCAAAAAAAACGTTTATACCTTACTTTAAAGGTCGAACACAAATTGTTGTAAATAATGGTAGGAATAAATATTTGAAATTAATGATATGTAATATTATTTTGTAATTAATTAATACTTTATATATTATTTCATCTTATATTATTTAGCGTCGGCACGTCTTTATGTTCAAGTGTATGGAACGTCAGCTGCGTTAGAATTTAATGGTCCTTGTTTTGGAGCGAAGAACGCAAGTCCTTGCACTTCAGGCAACGTAATTGATTCAGGAAACACATTTGATAATCCTGCAGCACAAGCAATTGGAGCATCTTTAATTAAATGTAAGTAGTTTTTTTTATATGACTAACAAGATATTTTTTCATTTTCATTATTCTAATAAGTAATCAATATCACAGATGGTTATTTTTCTTTAATTGAATCGCTTGGCGGTTACGCAATTCTTACGATTCAAACAGGGAAAAATGATCCATACCTTGCTTGTGCAGTGACAAAGATTGCTGACGATGATAATATGGCAGACACACTTGTTTCTCCAAGTGCTGCAACTGCTTATACCGCTACTTCTGCAGCAGTGGGTGTAGTATGTTTGGCTATTGCTGCTGGTGGAGTTGTCACTGTTGCCACAGTTGGGACAGATGCACCTCCTCAACATGTTAATCTTGATCATGGGCATCATATTACTCATAATGGACATGGACATAATGGGCATCATATTCCTCATAATGGACATGGACATAATGGGCATCATATTCCTCATGATGGACATGGACATAATGGGCAGCATTGGCAACATGAACAGCAACCGGTTGATCAGGAGTATCATGCATCATCCGGTATTAAGACTTATCATGAAGGGGGAGTAAAAGTTATATCAGCCGATCCGGGTCAGCATATTGGAGGAAATACGGGAGGTACACCAAGTGGCGATCCGGGTCAGAATATTGGAGGAAATATGGGAGGTACACCAAGTGGCGATCCGGGTCAGAATATTGGAGGAGAAATGGGAGGTACACCAAGTGGAGGTGATCCCCAAGTAACAGCAGCTCCATCACACGTGCAATATCCATCGTTTTATGATTTTATGTTTTATACCCAATCGATCATTGCTACTGGGTGGATCTCATTAAATTTAACTTCTGAATATCGGAAATTTACATCAACATTCTCATGGGCATGTGCACAGGGATTTATAAATCTTAATATCCTTGTTTCTGCCGCAAATAAGTTACGTTATAACATCTGTAGTATAATTGTTAGTATGAACACGAACGTAGCATCAGCTCCGGGAACATGTGTTGACAGTGATAATGGATACATGTTGCCACCAGTAGGATCAAACACTACTCTTACGTTTGGTCCTAATTTTCCCACAAACACTGTCATAAATCTGAATGGATTTGATTCATATGCTCATATAATTGGTATTCCTGTAGAAGATCTTCCTTTCACGTCAATGATTGGGTTCTTAGTCGTTATGGCCATTGCAATTACAACAGTTCTTTTAAGTGCTATTATAGCTAGCATAGTTATAAAATATCGACAAAATGCACCTGAATTTTGGATAACGATGAGAAATAATATTCATTTATTCTTATTTGGTATGTTGAAAAAATTTTTTTTTCATTATAAAGATATCAAATGTTAAAGTGTAAAGATAATAAGTATCTAATATCCCAATATTTATAATTTTCACTTTTATATATAAAAGGTGGCATCTTACGTGTGGTAAATAAGCATTTTTTATAAATATCGTTAACTTTATATATTTATAACTAACATTAATTTTACCATTTTATAAATTAATTAATTAAAATAAAGGCAATTAACTTGGCTTTTCCACTTATAGCACTTACAATATATCAACTATCTTACACTAATGATTGTTGGATGTTACTTTTCCTCGCTTCATTTATTTTAGCCTTTATTGTTTTTATGCATTCATTCAGTATGATACAAATCCATAAACAAATAAAATCAGGCAATTTGGATTCGTTAATGACCGAAAATAAATATAAAATCATTTACTCTGCGCTATACAACCAATATAGACCTAGCGAGTATAAGTTTCATAAATATACAATCATACATACAGTCACACGCGCATGCGTAATTGGCGCTCTACAAAGTAGTGGAGAAATACAACTTGGAGGTCTTCTTTTAATTGAATTTTTTTATTTGGTTCTACTTATTAATCATAAACCATATACAGATAGAATATTTGGAAACAATTTAAATATAGTACTCTCAGTTGCTAGACTTCTCGTTATCATTCTTTTAGTACCATTTGTACAAACTCTTAGTAATTTTGTTCCACCAAATATATTAAAAATCTTTTCGTTCACATTAATTATTGTACAAGCAGTTATTTTAGGTTCATTAGGAATAATGATCATTGCAAAGTTGGTTAGATTGATGATTAATTCATGGAGGAGGAGTCGGTGGTGTATGAAATCTGAAGCAATTATCACTGAATAATTTTCATTATGCTACTATTTAAAATATGGATTTTATCTATTTTCAACTAAATAATGTATAAATATTTTCTGTATATTATTATTGTAATAATAATAAAAAAAAAATTTTATATTTAAAATTTGTATGTCTTCTTTCTATAAAAGATCCGTTGAGAATTCCGAATTTGGTATAACGCGTCCTTCAAAGTTTTCGGTAGGACAATTGTCATCATCATGTGATGAATGTCACGTTCATAAACACTGGATTTGACCGATGTTACACAAAGATTCCAAATGCCAAGCGTTACTTTGTTGATAGATCTACCGATATGTATATCGTACAATCACTTTAAGGCATAAACATGTACAGATACAGATGATTTATAATTGGAGAATGTTAGTTAAAGAGATAGTTCGGAGTTAACAATAGCTGTAATAATGCAATTTAAAACTTCTTTTGCTTGAATTAAAGAGTTATTTTATGTTTTTATGCATTTATTTATAATATTATCACTGTGCTAATTAAGCTTATAGTATAAGACAGAATCTTTTTTCACAAAAAGAGAATTTTAAAGAAATCAAAAAGCTATCCCAGTATAATAGTAGCTTAGTAATTAGTAATAATAATACCCTGATCAAGATGTGAATAAGCGGAAATGATGTTCCCACTTATTCCCAACGGATCAAAATATTATTATTACTAATTTACTTTTTTGAATTAATGAAATTTTATAAGTTTGAATTAATGAAATTGTATAATTTTGAAATAATCTTTAATTTAACAACAATAGCAATAAAAAATAAAATAAATCATTTCTTCTTGTTGCGTTTTTCTTCCATTGAGAAAATCAACATAAACGTTTACTTTGTCTAAAGTCTATGTACATTTGTGAACAACATAAATAATTATGAATTATTTGGAATACATAAATTTCATTGAAGTTTTTTTAATCTATTAATGTTTATAGAATATTGACCTTAAGGGTCACAGAGTATTGATCTTAATGATTTTTAACGTATGTATTATTTTCATATATTTTAAAAAAGATTATTATTTTCATATATTTTAAAAATGAGCTAATTCATGATTATCTATATAAAGATACGTTAGCGACAGGTAGCACGTATAACGCCTATTCACAGATCTACGTATCAATGAACATCTAATGTTTAAAATGCCAAGAAAAAAAGCTAAGAACAATTTGTACACAGAATAACTTAATTCCGGATGAAAATTGTGAAAATCTGTGCATGTGAATTTTGAAATCTTAATAATAAATTCATTAATTAAAATTAAGCTACATAATTTAAAATTATTTATTGATGCCAAGATGAATTAGTGTTTGTTGTGTAAATTTTAAGCCAAGTAAAAAAAAAAATGAAATGATATATAAAGTAAATTGAATTTTAATCTTATCCAACTTTTGTTTATATACATAAACTTCTTTCAAGTTATGACCAAAATATATACTTGAACCCCATAAATACAAAAAATACGCATTTTCTAAATGTATATAAGTTTAGTCATAATAGGATGCATTTATAAAGGTCTAACCATATTCGGACGCCATCGATAAACTAAGACTAAGTAATATTGGATAGCGTCGAAATAAAGATAAATAAAATGGTAAGAATATAATGCAATTAAAAATTTAGTGTGATAAAAGTTTTCGGATAAACCGAGATATCAAACTCTATCTTTATTAGAAATTTGAGAAAAAGTTATTTTTATATAGGGTTAACAGATAAACAAACAAATATATATTACTAATCACTTTCAAAGCAGATAATTTTCCTTTGTCACTATTTGACTATTACTTTAAAAAATACTGCTGATATAATTTATTTATATTTGTAGTTCAATCTTCGATTTAGAAATTAAAGGGAAATGTAAAGTCATCAAGATCTTATATCTATAAAGTGAATTTATAATTATAATTAAAAAAACTACTTATTATTTCTAAAATTCGTATTCCTTTAATTTTTCTATGAAACAAACAGATACTTACTCATATATATTTATATATATTTTGAGCCTCGTTAATATAAATACATTTGGATTAGAAAAATATGTTGATATATGTGATAACAAAGAGATTAACAAAGAGATTAACGAGGGTCAAGTGTAGATATTTTAATAAAAAAAAAATGAAATTACAAAAAATTAATGGAATTAAGATACATAAAGTACAATATGAAAAAAATTTATAACATTTAAGTATATTTTTAAATGATTTAATTGTCAAATGCGTAAATGATCATGATTAAGATTTACTGTTAATTCAGGTACATGACTTAATGCAATAAATTAAGTAATCCGTATAGCGCAGAGGTTGAATATTTGTATGTAATAATGCTTACTTTGTTTTACCTTTGCATTAAATGAAAATTTTTAAAATGGCATTATATTGATTGAAATCTTCAATCATATATTATACCTTAAAAGGTTCAATTTCAATGGCACTATTTATATCAAATAGTATCATTGGAATTAACTATTATAAGAAAAATATTTTAACTAAACAAAGATTTATTTGTATATTATTAGTAAACTAGCTGAAAACCCGTGCTTTGCACAGGTGCACATATAGTCTTTTCCCTCTATAATCACACAACCTTGGTTTTAAGAATTTGATGCTTATAAAGAGGTTGTGCTTATATAGAGGCTAAATTTTATAAGTATTATATATACTGTTATTAGTTTTACAAAAAATATTATAATGTATATAAATAAGTTACATGGATCTAATTATAAAGGTAGCCAATCAGATCACAGTTTTATCGCATATTGTTTATCTCATAATGTTTATCTACCTGTCGCAAATTATATAATAGATTCTCAAGATAATCTGAATTTAGTGCAACTTATACATCTGAAAACTAGCTTAAACTAGTTCAAAATTTCATGATAAACACACCAAATATACATTTGATATTATCAAGCTTGTAATTTATCTTTACAAGTTTTATATAAATACAGCTTATGATTAACATTCGTATATATAATCACAAAAAATATTATTAATAAAAATCATGGCTTATTCCTTTAATAAATTATTGACATTAACGATTATTCTTTTGATAATCACAACAATAACAACAGTGGCAATTATTCATCCTAACGAAGTTGCAAATGATCTTGTTGACAAAAGGAATTTGCGTAAAAGAGCTTATAGTACATTAGTCACAACACATTTAATTACAACTCAATATATTGTCCTTGGTGTATCAGATTCATGTGTGGCGATTTACCCCACATCAGCTCCTGGACCAGCTACACCGCCTCCAGTAGTTCTACCCACACTACCTACGATAGTTATTCCAAAGGGCACACCGCAGCCGATAGTTCAAAATTCACCCACACAAGTACCAGCAGCACCTTCACCATTAATATTCAAACGCCAACAGAATGTTGAAACTGCATGTTTTTTTTACGACTATGAGTATACAACAAACGCTGTGGTCACTACAGTCGAAACTTTGTTAATCTCAATAATGGAATCACCAACTCCAACACCGCAACCACAACCGCAACCGCAGCCACAACCGCAACCACAACCACAAACGCAACCACAACCACAACCACAAACGCAACCTCAACCTCAGTCACAAACCCAGCAACCTCAGCCGCAACCCAATCCAACATCATCACAAATAGCAACACCACAATTGACAACTTCAATAAAGTCATCAGCAACATCACCAAGCAATACTGGGTAATTTTCTTATATCCTTGTATTTCACACAAAAAACATAATACTGATTTATATTAATTTTTTAAATCCCAAATATTAGCACTGGGAGCACGACAAATGTAATACCTACGGATACTTCCACTGTTAGTTCAACATCAAATCCTTTATATGATAAATTAACCATGCTCAACTTTGCAATCGGATTGTTTGGTTTTATTATTCATCAAATTATTTAAAGTATTATAAAATGTGTATATATATTTGTAATCTATGATTATGTAACTCATAATTAAGTTATTCAAAGTTTATCAGTTTTTTAACGTTCCTAATTGGTCAATAATAAATGACGTCATTGATTATTCCTGATATTTTAAATATTGAGTGTATAAAACATGAGTATCTATATAACAAACATATTTGATAATAAACATCTTTTAAGCTCTAACAAAAAAAACTCTGTGAAATTTTAATAACAATAATATACAGATCCGTTGGGAATTAGCGGAAACTTCGTTTCCGTTATTTACATACAAATCAAGGTATTATTAGTTATCAGAAATGATATTGAAATAGGATATTATTGGAATCTGGGGCCTTAATGTTAAATCATATATCCTACTAAAATTTATCTATACTTCTTATTATAAACATTAACCCTAAATTCTAACCTAACTATAATAAAAGTCTAAACAATAGCGTTTGCAGTCAACTCTAATTTATTACTTGACTAAATCTACATTATTTATTACACTAGTATGCTATAAAATAACTATGCTATACTATATTATGTTATATTATATTATATAAATAATCTATTTTATAACAATATACTTAAAAAACTAAATATATTTTTATTTATTAATACATTGTTTTTTTGGTATTAAGGTAAGGTTTTGCTTATATATTTATTAATAGTTTTGAAATTAGTAACTATAGAAAGTTGCTAAGTACAAATAATAATTTTATATAAATGCTATAGCCAAGGCTAACACTTGCAATTAGGTTTAATCATTAAACTGCTAACTATATATAACTAATACTAAATACAAAAATAGAGAAACTATATTTAAGAATAAAAGCTTAACCATATTTATTTGCAAGACTTATATAAATTTGAATAGTTAAAATATAATTAAATAAAATATTATATTTAATTTATAAATAATTATATATTAATTTTTTTGATAACATGACTAATAAATATGCATATATTAGTATTAGAATATACTTAATCAAATAGTTTATATAAATATTATTTACTAATACTTATATAATAAAAATTTTTTTTAAGGTTAATGTTTATAATAGCTATTATTTTTATTATTATTATTTTTTGTATTTAAGTTTCTGTCTTTAAAAAAAAGATCTTATTTAAGTTTATAAAACATAGATAGCTTCAAGAACTTCCTTATATAGAAGGTTACAGCTAGTTATACATGAATTTTTGGTGTTTAATTTAAGTAGTCTGCTTATATATTATATAATAAGTTCTATACTAGATACTATACCTGCAAGTTAATTATAAGTTTTGTTTATTTAAACTCTTTATATATGCAATCCCTTATAAAAACATCTTTAGTGCACTGTTTCAGCTAAGCTCCTAATTCTTATCTGTATTTTTAAAACTACTTTATTCTTAACAGAAAATATACTAAAGTCTGTTATGTTTTATATATAGTTAATCTAGTTTTATATAAAATGTATAATTAACTAATACTTGTAATTACAAAAATTATTTGTTTAATTACTAGTTATACTATTTCTATCTTTGTAAAATTTACTAAAACTTTGATATCTATCTTTTTAACATTTTTTTTATCATTTTCTACTAATTACTACTTATAACTAATAGGCTTTAGTCAGACTACCAATTTAGATAGCCCAGTATAAGATACTTTTATATATTTTTTTTATGTTGAATCTGGTTTCTAGTTGGTTATATGTTTCTTTACATATATTTGATATCTAGTTTATCAAATCTGTTTTTTTAAGAATGGTTTATAAGCTTCAATCAGTTTGATAGTTCTATTAAAAGTTCATGTTATCTCTTTACTTAAAAATTTTTAAGTCAATTTCTGTTGTTTTATTTTTTTAGTCTTTTATATCTGGTAGTTTTATTATGAACTTGCATTAAAGTCTTATATAATACTGATAAGTATTTCTTTATATATATATAATATTACATTTATATAAATAATTTAACTTCTAAGTTATTAGATTTGGTATATCTAAGCTATAGCTATATAAGACCAACTGATCAACAGAAACAGTTTAAATTTTATTGTAGATAAAATTTGAACATTAGATATTCTATTTAAAAAGATAACAACCTAACTATTATACTAAGATCACTATTTTCTTATCATCTTTATTATATTTTTTTTTATAGTTTATATAATTTATATAAGAAAAGTATATAAATAGTTATATATACAACTTTTAGTTATCTATTTAAGTAGTTTGTTTATAGATTCTATACTAAATATCATATTTGTAATCTACTTAAAGATTATTTATTTAAATAGTTTAATTATTATAATATATTAAACAAATAGTATCTAGTTTTTATATATTTAAATGCTGTTTAATTTATTTTTTTAAATATTTATTAAGCTATTATTTGTTAAAAAGTATGTTATATAATTGTAAGCCTTCAGACACTTTTTAATTAACTAATTTACTATTTTATAAATTATTAATAGAGCTATAATTTTGCAGAGTTTATTCAAACTTTAATATTAAATTTATAGCATATTTTTAGTATATTAGTATATTTCTGTTTTGTTTTTAAACTTTTAATTCAGATAATACTATTAAAAATCTTTATTATATCTTTATTTAAGTTTTTCTAAATAAGCTTCTGTTTTTTTAATTCTACAAATTTATATAGATACAGGAACTTATCTTAGGTTTGCACTATTTAGTACTAGTTTACATATTTTTGTATATTTAAAGTTATATAAAGCTTTATAATCTGCTAGTCATACTAGTATAACTATAGTTATAAGTATCTTATTCTAACTAATTAATAAAAAATAGTTGTTATAATATAAATAATTATTTAAATTTTTATTATTAGTAAGTTTTGAACTTTCAATCTACTACTTGTAGAAATAACAACTAATTTATTTTAAAATGCTTTAGTTATTATTTGAAATATAATAGAATTTTTTAAAATTTTTTATATATTTAATTATAAATAAAACTTAATATAACAAAATTAAATATAATCTAATTAATTAATTTTAAAATTTTATAATATTAACTTGTTTATAAGTTTTATTTTAAAAAATATTTTTAATATATAAACTACTAATAAAAAAATATATATAACAATTTTAAATTAGGTGTAACAACCTAATAAAATAAATAGGTTGTTAATTCTCAAGTGGCAAGTCTAAGGTTCAATTCCTATAGACAATAAATTTTGAAAAATATATCTGTGTTATGTTACTGTTTTTTGCTGATTAGTTGGGTTTTGGGCATCTGTAATCTTAGGTACACCAAGTCAGGTCCTACTTGATATTGGGAGCTCAAGGCAGCTATGTAAAAAGTAATATTACATATATATAAAGAAATGTAAAAAACTGGTGTTGTATAAGGCTTTAATGCAAATTTGTGATAAGACTATTGAGTATAGAAGGCTAAGAAACTAAGGAAACAGAAACCTACTTGAAAATCCTAAGTAAAGAAATAACACAAACTTTTAATAGTGTTATTGAACTAATAGAAGCCTATGAAACACCTTTATAGAAACTGTCAGATAAATCAGATAACAAGAAATATAAAGAAGTACATGACCAACCAGACTGCCAAAATTATCTAAAAAAAAAGATATATAAATATATTAAATTAAGACATTTGAATTAGAAGTCTAAGGAGTCTGTTGTTAGTTCTGAGTTATATCTAGTAAGAGATGATAGATAAAAAGTTGGAAGGATGAATATTAGAGTTTAGATGAACTTTACAAGAGTAATAGTAGTTTAATAAGTAATCTTGATTACAATTGTTAGTTTTGGCCATAGCATCAAACCAGGTTAGTGCTAAAAGAGAATACAGCTTACTCTGGTAGATTTGCCTCAAGGATAAAAATAGTCTAAGAATTATAGTTCTATAATTAAAAGTGAACAGATCTGGATCTGTAATCTAGTAAAATTAATACTAAGATCAGATTAGAGGATTTAAATAAAACATCTAAGCAATAGTATTAGGTAAAGCAAATGATATAGAACCTCAGTCAAACTTTTTAAATAGATAATATAAAAAAGTTACACATGTAGCTAGTTGTGCACTCATCTGATAGTTCAATATAAATATATTATGTATCTAAAATAGTTATTAATAGAAAACTAGAACTAAAAAGATTATCTTAATACAGAAAAAAAATTTTTTGAATTATAATTTTATTAATAGTATAAAAATATTCCAATATTTTTTTTGTTATAAATATTTCTAAATATAAAACTAAGTAAAAATGATGTTTTTATAAAAATTTAATATTAAAAATTTTTTATATATAAAAAGTTTTTTAATAATTCTTAATTATAATTAGTCAAATTTAAATTAAACCAAATTAATTAAAATAAATTTTTTAGGTTAAGTATATTTAAAGTTAAAAAAATAATTAAATATATTTTTTAATCAATTTTATAAAAAAATTATATATATAGTATATTTATATTTAAAAAAGTTAATTTTTTATTATATTATACTTCAATAATTAAAAAAAATATTTTTTTCTATTAATGTAATGTCTAATTTACTTTTAATTAACGTAGCTAATTTTTATTATATAAATACAATAACATAATAATTAATTAATTAAAAATAATATGTTTTATTAATATTATAGAGTTTAAAGTTTAAAATTAAATCAAACATTTGCTTATCAAATTAATTTAAGCATACAAGTTTAAATAACAAAAATAAATAATTACAAAAACTCAAGTTTAATTATTTAAATTTTAAACACAATCAAATTAAGTTTAATAAATAGAAAAATATTATTTAACTTAATTTAACTTTAAAGTAAATTACTATTAAAAAAAATTTTAAATTATGTAATATTATTAATTTATTATAATTAGATTATAATAACAATATTTATTAAAATATTTTTAAGGGGATGGGGTCCTGTAGCCTAGTGGTCTAGGCACCCCTCCCTCCACAGACAAGGTCAACGGTTCAATTCCAGCTGGAGGCAACTCTGTAA